CGAGCCAGCCACACCAATCCGCACAACGAGAACACTGCCGAGGTTCCTAGTCATGATCCCCTAGCCGACCGAGCACCATGAGACCTCCACCACCGGTCACACCATTGCAAGTCCGTTCCTCCGCCGGTTATCAATTTTGGAATCAAATCTTCAAGTTAGGTAAAAAATATTATCCAATTTGAATTCCCGATTTTATTTCCTGATTTAGTGATATTGCGATCTAATTAAATATCTTAAGATTATAGGCATATCCAGTCAGGATTATTTCCTAATTGGACAACATGCATGGGTCGACAATCCGATCTCTAGCTAAAGACATGATTCTCGACCGCACGGAAAATCAGCCAATCCAATCCTCAAGCCATAGGATACAATTGTCGGTTTTATTTGTTATCAAATCTGAGTCGATTTGAATATTTGATGCATATCTTTCCGATTCAATGTTTGCAGTGGATTTTATCTTTATTTGATTTTTTTCTTAAATAAAAAATACAAAGAATTGCACATTAGATTAGAATAGATTTTTCCAAATAATCTAGCATGTTAAGGACAGACTCTAGATTAGGATTTCCTTGATAAGTTAGGATAGTTCGGGGCAGGATACATATTTAGATAGATTTTAGAAGATTGATCTAAATTTCTAGTTTAAATTAGGGTTTGACTCAGTTTACTTCCTAGTTTAAATTAGATATTATCTTGCTTTAGATAATTGATTTTTAGTAATTTTTAATTACGAATTTAATTAAAAAATACCAAAAACATCATATTAGAATAGATTGTATATCTTTTCAAGATAAGATTGCATATTTAAATAGTAGCATTTATTTATGCAATTTATTGCATTTATTAAAAAAAACAAAAATATCATATGCATGTCACGTAGTTTGCATGTTAAGTTCATACAATTAAAATTGCATGTCATATAGGTTAGTTTTCATTTTATGATGAAAGAAAAGCCCAAAGATAATTTATTGTTTTGATGTGTTTAATTCCATTTCTTCTTGCAATTTATTTATGGCTTTGCTTTTCTTGAGTGTTACATTAATGGTTGTGCACCCGCATGTTTACCTTACATGTTAATGGCTAGGTTAAAATCGATATAAGGTGCCTGTAAAATATTTTTTTATAAAAAAGGGAAAGCAACTGAAAGGGCGTTAGAATAATTTAGCGTGATCAAGTCCCCGGATTCATAATTTTAGATTCGTAGGAGTAAAGTAAATCTCCCAATAGAGTTCCTAATCAACCCATGAATAAATATATCAGTGGCAATTCCTAATTCAAATAATGCTTGAACCTTAAGTTGTGAATTGATATGGGCTTAGACGAGCCCGAGCGAGGTGTAAACTTAAGAATGTAGCCAACCCATAAGTGGTTCACCGTTCAAAGAGGGTCGCAACAATAATCAAGGCACATTCAAGGAATGCTTCTAAGCCTAGGAATGTGCTTAATGCTCACTGTTCAAAAAGCCCTATCCAAATAATGAGCGTCCAACCCTCTCTTGATCTGTTTTTCCCTCCTCGGGCTGGTCTTTGATGCTCCTTTCTTTACTCGTTATGAATTCACTCATTTTAGCATCAGGCAGAGCATTATTACTCATGTAATTTACATTGTCGTGAAGTTTTAATTATAAAATAGTATGAGATTTCGAGGATTTATCTATCAATCAACTCATGGCTCAAATTATTCAAGTTCAAGATGCTTCTTCAACAAATGAAATTTCCCATGTATGCAAAGAACTCAAAACGTATATACCCTAAAGGATCAAAGGTAGAGAACAGGCAAATAGTCCTAAACCTATTGCATTTGTGCCAATTCAATCATAAACCTTTCAATTTGGCCAAGTTTGTCCAAAACCTATTGCACTTGTGCCAATTTAATCATAAACCTATCAATTATGCCAATTTAGTCATTCCTATCAATTTTGGCCAAAAATCATTGACGTGGCGGTCTAGTCAACGCTGGTCATCCTATGTTGTGCGATCGACACTAACGTGCACAATTTTTTAAATTTTCTCTTTTTTATTATTTTTCTATTTTTTGCTTTTTTTTCTTTCCTTTATTTTTCTAACCCTGGACCAACGAGGGCCTCTACACCCTCACCCATTGGCCGATGAGGGTTGCAATGCCCTTGCCTGGTCTGGGCGAGGACCGCGACCCTCACCCATTGGCCAGCCTAGACCAGGTGAGGGTCGTTGACCCCTACCTATGATTGGTGAGGATCAGATGGCGACCTCGCCGGCCTAGGTTTAGGAAAAGAAAGAAAAGAATTTAGAAAATTCTTTATAATTTATCCATAACAGTACCGGTCGTGTCATATAGGACGGTTGACGCTAACAAGACTGTCGCGTCAACAATTTACGATCAAAATTGACCAACAGGACTAAATTGGCAAATCATTAAAAGGTTTAGGACTCATTTGGCTAAATTAAATTTATGACTGAATTGGCACAAGTACAATAAGTTTATGACTTTTTTGGTAATTTGCCCGATAGAAAATTTACACAACTATTTGCGACATTTCCTAAACATGGGGGGTGTCTGATAATAGAAAATAGAAATGTAAGCATTTTTATCATCTCTGGAGTTAAACAGGTTGGCAGCATCAAATCATATAAAATGGAAGTAGAACGAAGTATAAAGGGTCCTTTCTATAAAGGAAAATGTTACGGAACAACACCAAGAGATGCACAAATCGAAAAGCTCAAATAGCAAGGATGAAAGCAAAATCGAACCACACAAGACAAAAGATATACATGGAAACCCAAAACGGGAAAAACCACGGGGAGAGAGAGGGGTTTCACTATCTTCAACAACGAGTACAATCGAAAAACTCAAAAAACCACGTGGTGAGCCACAATATCTAATGATCAAACAAGAAGATAGAAAGAACAAAGAAGGGAGAGAATGTGGAGGCTAGGGTTAGAGATGCGTTGCGCAAGACATCTCTTTTATAGTCCCCCTTCAAAAACCCCTAAAATAAATGTGCATGATCCAAAATATCCTTGTCATCAATTTGAAAGTCAAAACCCAACAAATCTCCACCTTGACTTCAAATCTCCGGAAGAGCGATATATCAAATGCCACAAGACCTCTCTCGCTCACCACCAAAAGTGACTACACAAGGCCACCCCAAAATAGTGGAATTAACGACATACACCCCCAAGCCTACGTGAGCATACTCGGTGTAGGAAACAAGGGATGAAACGCCACCAACTCTGCTTAGGCAACTCAAATAGTGAAAACGCCAATCAAGTCCAAGAAATGCTTAAACTTTGTCAAAGGAACTGGTTTGGTCAACATATCTACCGGGTTATCCGCCATGGGTACTTTCTTCATCGTAATCGTACCCTTAGCAACCTCATCACTCATAAAGTGATACCGGATGTCGACATGTTTCGTTCTCTCGTGATACATCGCGTTCTTGGTCAACTGGATCGCACTTTAGTTATCGCAAAAGATAACGGAGGCTCCCTCCTGCTTCACTCCAAGTTCTGTAACAAAAGGCTTCAACCAAAGAGCTACCTTTGCCGCTTCCATCGTTGCCATATACTCTGCTTCAATGGTAAACAAGGCAATCGTGTCTTGTAAGGTTGCTCTCCAACTAACCGCGAAACCACCAAGCATATAAACATAACATGTCAAAGATCTTCTTTTGCCGAGATCACCTGCATAGTCAGAATCAACGAAACCAACAACCGAATGTCCTATATCACTCACCTGAACCAGTTCCAGAGGAATGTACCAACAAGAGATGGAAATGGTTTAAGGTATGTTCGCTATGCTATTACATGAATTAATTTAATACTTTAAGGATAAGGTTATTTCATTAATTTCGTGTTTCTAGGGTTGCTTAGGAGCATTAGATGGCACATACATTAGGGTACGTGTTCCAGAGGTTGATAAACCAAGGTACCGAAATAGAAAGGGTGAGGTATCGACCAATGTGTTAGGAGTTTGCTCACGTGACATGAGATTCGTTTATGTTTTACCTGGATGGGAAGGCTCAGCAGCGGATTCTAGAGTACTTCGAGATGCTTTAGTTAAACCCAATGGTCTGAAGATTCCCATTGGTAAGATAAAGCCTTTATCAATATGTTGCATTCTTTGTCATGTAGGTTTTAATGATTCTAAGACAATTAATAATGTTATCATTTGTTATTAGGTAATTATTATCTTGTAGATGCTGGATACACAAATGGGGATGACTTTCTTGCTCCTTATAGAGGTACTCGATACCACCTATCTGAGTGGACAGAAGGTTGTACACCAAATTCCCCTGAGGAGTACTTCAACATGAAGCATTCTCAAGCTAGAAATGTCATAGAAAGATGCTTCGGTCTACTTAAGTTACGGTGGGCTATTCTTAGGAGTCCATCTTTTTATCCAATTAGAACACAAGGTCGAATAATCATAGCCTGTTGCCTTATATATAACTTGATAAGAAGAGAAATGGCTATTGATCCAATTGAGGCACAGTTAGATGAAGTTGCTAACATCATTGAAGATGTGGAAACAATTGATGTTGTTCAGCCGTCGAATCATTGGACGACATGGAGGCAAAATTTGGCAGTACAGATGTTTAATGAGTGGAATGCAAGTCGAGGACATGGAGGAGATGCATGATTTGACACTATTTAAAAAAATCATTTGTTTCCCATTGTTGCAAGACTTGTGTTGTAAGATTTTATTTTATTTTCCATTTCTATTAGACGTGTAATATGGTGCTAGTTTGTCATTATTTAGACATATTTCTTATGCAATGTTTGAATTATGGCTTTATCATTTTAAATTTTTGGTACTACACTGTCTCTATCATTAAATTTTCTCTACTGCACTATCCTCTATCATTAAATTTTCTAAAATTAAATGAGATGTTTAGGAATGGAAGGTAGCAATTTCAGTCAAACTCAAGGAAGGGGAACAAAGAGAGATCGACGTGTTTGGACAATAGATGAAGAAAATTCACTTCTAGATGGTCTTGAAGAACTAGTGCATGAGGAATGAAAGCCGCTAACGGTTTCAAGAGTGGTTACATGACTATGTTAGAGAAGTGGTCTGAAGAAAAGTTCCTTGGTTCTGCCATCAAAGGTAATCCTCACATAGAGTCGAAGATGAAAAACTTGAAAAAGTTGTACAATCAGATATATGACTTGAAGGATCAAAGTGGCTTTGGGTGGGATCATGAAAACCATTATGTTGATATTCATCCGGAGGATAGTTGGCTAAAATATTGCAAGGTTTGTGTCACTTCTTCTCATTTTTTTTTTCTTCTTTACTACATGTTTCTTTTTTAACAAAACATTATATTTTCTTTGTAGACCTATCCAGGAGTTGCTTCTTTGAGAGGGAAGTCCTTCCCCCAATATGATCGACTAGCAACCGTATTTGGAAAAGACCGTGCCAAGGGAAATCTCAGTGAAGACCCTTCAGAAGCTCATGCGGCTGTAGATAATGAAGAAGGTGAGAATCATGATGGCGTGGCAACTAATGGTGTAAGTCAAAACTTACCACCACTATCTTCTCAAACACAAAATGTTTCTGATCCTTCGAGAAGAAGAAGGGCTAAAGCAAGTGATAAATGGGCTACTGGGTTAGTTGAGATTGCAGGCACTTTTGGCTCTTTCTTGGAAAAAGCTAACGAGAGGATGGAGTCGATTGCTACCCGCATCGGACATGCTAAAGATTTGGATAATGACAAGAGAAAAATTAATGAGGAGCTTCTTCAAATGTCTCTAGGTACTATGGATAGAAATAAACTATGCAAAAAAATTGTGAAGGATCCTGAGAATATTCATCTTTTTTTTCGGATTTCAAGGAGACGACAGGAAGGCATTTATGGAACTGCTTCTCCAAGAGATGATAGAAGAGAATGAGTAATGTTCTTGGAGCGATGAGTCACAGTGGATTTATGCAAGTTGAAAGGGGAAAGTTGTACCTAATTTTGTTTATAAGTAATAAGTCTCTTGTGTAGTCCCTTTGTTGATTTATGACAATTAACAATATTGAGCAATGTTCTTTTTGCTATTTATTGGAATCACACGTTTTTTGAAGGTGTTATTTCTTATGTAGTCCCTCTGTAGTCATATTGAGTCTTGTTCGGGACCTTCAGGTACATGATGCATCTTGAACTTAATAGCGTCTTGCTTTTATTCTGCTGAAGTTTGTCTCATATGGTGGTAAAATTCAATATAATGAAACAAACTTTTCTGGTGATTCATCTTGAATTTATGACGGAGTGCTCTCTTGATGTTTAGTCCTCATGCCTTTTTAGGTGATGCTTTTGTTGCTTTTCGAAAGAGACTTTTCTTCCACAAAATCTTGAGACCATGTCTCATGACTATACTCAAATCTTTTGGTTACTTTTCCGTGCGCAACTTACCGTGAACATGACATATATAATCTAAATGTCAAATATTTTTCATATCTCTAATGCTCTCATGTTAGTCTTAATTGACTCGTCTCATATTAGCATGCGCGATGTCACTTTTAAAAGGAAAAAGAGACTGATGTACATAATTCGACAAAGTTGAGTTGATTACTACGATGATGAATAGAACATCACATTTGCAGATATTTCTTACGTCAATCATGATTTGATTGTTTCACTTGTATAGAGACCCTGTGGGGAAATTTTGAAGCTATCTTGATTTAAATTCAAGCATGCGCAAATTTCTGAAAGTAGATATTTGGGCTATTACTTCGAAAATTTCCTTTTGCTTTGGTTCTTTATGCATATTGCATACAATGCGAATAATAGATTGATTTTGTGAAAATCTATCAATTTAAAAAAGATATATTGTTTTGGATGATTTTGCTATAATCTAATATGTCGGTTTGTACTTGCCTAATGTTTTTGTTTTTTTAAGTATAATTATGCATAAGAATATCCGACTTTAAATCCGCAGTTCACCAAATACTAGATAGGATAGGATATGAGAATATCCAAGTTTAAATCCGCAGTTCACCAAACAGTTGATAGAATATGAAGAAGTCTTGGGATTTTCTATCCTATCCTATCCAGTCATATCCTGTTTAAAAATCCGAACGACCAAACGCGGCCTCAGAGGTTTTGAGGGTTCCTTATTACGTACAGTGGTTAGATTTGAAATGGGTAATTAATAAGCGTCGCTATTTCTTAATGAAAGGAAATATTTGTACGATGAAAATCAGTTGAATGGTTAAGAATCGGACTCTGGCAAGCCGAATTCATTTCAACGTCTGTGACATAAAGAGAACACTTCCAATATTGGACTAATAGAATTTGGATGCAAGGCCAGGCTCCATTAGTCCAGCCCATACTAATGTGAGCTAGGACACGCCACAGGCTCAAGCACCCAATTTGTGTTATCCACTGGACAATCTGTTTCCTACTACCTATTTTCTTCTGGTCCTAAGTCAAATATTAGGACTCACATGACTAAATAAGTATGACTAACTTCACCAACCCTAATTAAGATTAGAGTTGCTATCTTTTTTTTCCCTTTATTTGGGGACAACTACAAGCAACTGGAGGGCTGTTCCACGCCCGAAGCTGTGCCCCCAGCATGGGCACAAGATGCTGTGGCCACTTGGCTCCCGTAGGTTAGCTTCACGTCTTGCATCGTTATTCCGGTGCACGGGTACTCTGAACTGCAGTCAAAGTTCACGGCCACCTCGGTCGCTGATGTCCCGTGGACGTCTTGGTACGTCACGTCGCTCACTCTTACGCCCGAAGCCTATTAGCAGAGAAATGAGAACTTGATCAATAAAAGAAGATCTGGATATCCACCTTAACATTTTTAATATGAACTGCTTATCAATTTCCCTTGACTCGTGGAATTTGGTAAGGAGGGAGCTTTTACCTGATTAGGGCAACCGGAGTCGGGGCAGTAATTCTGATCGATAATGATCGGGTTTTGGACTTTGTTCATGGTGACGTGCTGAAAGAGGATGTTCCTGGCGTAGCTATTGCTCGGCCTGGCCCACGACTTGATCCTAACTCCATTTTGCGTGCCGGTGAACGTGACCGTCTTAACCGTCACGTTTTGGACGCCATCCTCTTGTTGATCCTTGCCCAGGCTCCCAATGCTGAAAATCAACCACATAGAACTGTAACTTTCCGATTCAACTAATGAACAATACTAAATTTGGCGGGAGATAGTATATATATCCGTATAGGGTAATATGATGGTAAAACAACCAATTAAATACCTGATGCCATGTCCGGGTCCGCAAGCAACGTTTTCGATCCAGAGATTGTTGCTGCCGGGGCCGATGGAGACACAGTCGTCGCCTGTCCCGATCTTGGAGTTGAGGATGGTGACGCCGGTGGAGGCGCCAACATGGATACCGTCGGTGTTGGGGCTGGTCCCAGAGGCCGACACCTTCACGCCTTGCATCTTAACGTTCTGGCATTCGTTGATGACGATGTGGAACATCTGGCTATTGAGGGAGCTGAGTCCGCTCACCAATACGTTTTGGGAGTTGCTGATTTCCAAGTTCTGCACCCACCAACACCAAAATGAACACTAATCAACCACCGTGTTACACAAAACACTTAACAGTCTTAATATTCAATTATAATACAAAAATCCCATCATTAATTATTATGTTGGTTATCCGTGATTGGGGGCATTGGGTATCACATGGCTCAGGCTTGGGAACAGAGGGTGACATGTGGCCCCATTTGAGTTTCTTAAACAAGAATACGGATCGTTGACATTAATATAAGCAAGCGACGTGAAACTGAAACGCCCCCAAAGGGCTTAATTGCTTCTCATGATTTCCAGGATCTTAAAATATTTTCTTTTTTTCTTACTTCTTTTTCTTTAACGCACTCTTTTCTTTATTTTTGGTGACGGAGGAGAGTTGGTTTGAGCTCGCCTGTGCATCGGACCTAAAAAAGTTGGCCGAAGAAGAAGAAGAAGAAACACCAAACTGCATGTGCTATAGTATTTAAATATTGAAGTTGAAAATGGTAATAAGGAATAGGCTTTTATTTAATCTTACATTATTGCATTTCCGAAATTATGTTCGAGGAAAAGCCGTGAGTTGTCTAGTGTGTAGCCTCCCATGATTTATGCAATGTAATATGCACTTAATAGATAACCAAACCCACAAGCACTCAACTTTTCGAGCGAAATGACGCAAAAACCATATTATGATAACTGCTGTTTGACGAAATGAACTCCATAAGTTCAAATCAGTTTATGAGGATGACGATGAAAATGTGGATGAAGAAGAATTGTGCGCATGTTCGTGGTTGTGTAGTTATGTACACATACCGTAGCACCGGAAGGGCAGCTCTTGTCGGAGAGCTTGCAAGCCCAGAAGCCCGTGCCTTGCCCGTCGAGGGTTCCCCCAAGCACGGACACCCCCTTCACGTCCCTGATTATGATCCAGTTCCCCACATTCCCGTTCACGTTGTAGTCGGAAGGCGCAATGAGAGTGCCGTCGATTTGCACCGTGATGGCCGAGTTCTTGCATGGCCCATTGAAGGAGGCGGACTGCACAAAGAACTGGCCCTGTGGCACGTAGACGGTGGCGGCGCTTGTTGACGCGCAAGCCGACGCCCATGCGCTCAGGAAGGCCTTGCTGGAGTCAGTCTTGCCATCGGCTTTCGCGCCAAGAGAGACCACGTTGTACTCAACTGAAGCTGCGTTTGCTGGTGATGGCAATTCGGACAACAACATGATGATGCCGAGGGCAAGTACCAGATAATTCAGACAGGTGTTGAAGATGAGTTCGGCCATCTTCTTGGGCTTTTTGAGAGAGAGAGAGAGAGACGGGTTGAAGGGTGAGTGTTCTTGGTGGTGGTATTGTGCGTTGTGGCGTTGGTGAGGTGAAACGGCAATGGAATACGGGGTATTTATAGGGGAAATTGAGTTTTGTTCCAAATTAAAATTTGAAAAGGAAGAAAGGCCAAACAGAAACAAAAATAATAAAAAAAAAATGCTTAGCCTGTGATTGGGGAGAGATTGGATAATTGAGCAGTTTGGCCGAAATGCTCCTTTTCTTAGAGGACTTTCTGATTGCAATGTTAATGGGTCGTTGACCGGATTACGATCGCCTTTATACTTATACTTGATATAATAATAGCACAAATAACGTAGGAGAGAATTCGATACGGCCGAAGAATCCCAAATTGCGAAAAAGATTAATTACACAAGCCTTCTGATTTTATTTTTTTTTTGATATGTCTATATGAAGCATTTGTCAAAACTAAACATCGCATGGTTGGCAAAAGGTCTCTAAGGCTTAATTTTCACACTTTGTGTACAAAGCGTTCTCATTGGACCATCTTCGTAAATCGACATGCGGGATAAATGCAATGAATGTCTCAAATGTATTCAAACACTTGGAAGAATATGGCACTTTGGTGAGGAGACCATGATGATGACAGATTTGACAGTTTCGCCCGACGGATGACTCCGAGTGTACTTATCTCTCTCTCTCTCTCTCTCTCTCTCTCTCTCTCTCTCTCTCTCGTGAAGAAGGTCATGCTCCTTGCTTTTCCATCCAATGAAAATTCACTACTTCTAGGGTTGAAACAAGAATTAATTAAAAGGCCAATCCGTTTACTTAAATATATTCCAAAAATTAAGGCTTGATTACGGAAGGAGCGCGATTACTTTTGACCTGTATTAGGAGACAATGAGCAAGAAAAAATGCAACGAGACTCCTCATTCGACGCTATTTTTTGAGTTGATTGAGGAGTGACGGAATGAATGTACTCTTATCCCACATTATAAGGCTCCCAATTTGGAATTTTTGGATGGGTTTGATGCCTGAAGTTGAACGCCTTTGGAATGAAAACGTTGTTATACGGTTCATCTTATGACATTCTTTATAGTAGAATAAAGTGAATGCAAAAGGGCACATGGCCATGGTGGGTTGCTTTTGAAGGAAGAGAACGTCAATGTTTTGTAGATATAGTTATAGACAAAAACAAAACAATTGAATATGTTGCCGAAGGGAAATGCAGAGATTGATTGAAAACCGTCAACTTATTGTCTCGGCAAACCAAAACATCCCGTCGTTTTCTTGGTGCCATGCCCGTCTTTCCATGCTCTCCGTTTCATTTCCTTGGTCATCCTTTTCTTGAAATATCATTTGTCACCGCATTTGATTTCATACTTTGAGTTGGAATATGTACAATTTGATCTCCCTCTCACACCAATTATGGCAATGGCCATTGATTTGCAAGTGCTTTCAGATCTAGTTACACAAACATAAACGTGAGACTTGTGAGAAGGTATGTAATTCGTATCTTTTTGAATTCAAACGCGAATTTACTTAAGATAGAATTCGCAAAAACATTAGGATTGATTCGTCATAAATCGACATCTAGTAATTAGGGTACTGTTTGTTTTCCCTAAAGCAAATATTTGTTTACAAAATGTTGGTCATGTTGGTTTAGACTCAGCACCGATCCGTGTATCGAAAGACTTGGTGGTCATGTATTCGAGTCTCAATAAGAACAAATTGCTTGGAATCAACTACACGTCTTTAAGGATTGCATGTCCAAGGGAACTCGATATCCGGGGGAAAGAATATATATATATATATATATAAAACGTTGTTTGCTCGTTCATATATGGCCCCGGCTCTTTGGTCTCCCATGATTTGAGAGGGAAGAATTAACGGCAACAGTTATGATGCTGACTTCCCGGCTTACAACAATAAACTGAAACGAAACTGAAAAATAATACAATAGACTCTTGGTATTCTAATATAATAGACTGGAAGCTCAATAAATTAATATAATGTTATCGGCAAAATGAGAAGGGCTTGGGGGGAACGTGGGGAGCGACGTGACAGGTGGAGGATAAAACGGAGGAAATACCGCTTGGTTTAGCCGCCCCCAAAATGCCGTGGCCCCCGCTAACCTCCATGTTAATAAAGTCTTTGGTAATTTCTCCTCAATGTTTTCAATTTCATATGTTTAGTACAAATTCTTCGATCGCATTCATTACCTCCGAAAATTGTCATTTATATCGCTTCATCCTTTGGACGTTTGCTGCATCCTGCTTCACGCTATATGTATATACAACGACATGTATCCCGGAGATGCTTAGCCGAAATTAAGCGTGATTGAAGCGCCTGTACAATAACTAATACTGAAGTCAATTACCCCCCCAAAAAAAAAGTTAACCACCGAAGACTAACCGCTATCATGAAAACGCAGTAAAACTCTTGACTAAAAAGCTTTGTCGAATGACAAAGATTGATGCCTAAAAAACATTTGATGCTGGGCGAATGTGAACACTTGACGTATTTATTATTAAAGCAGAACCATGATAGACCTCAGGCTCGTTCTAAGTTGAATTATGACATGTCGAGCACTTCATACCCGTCAAATTGTGTGAACTTCAAATCTGTATATTGTCATTATCGCCACGAGATAAGGAGTTAATAAGTGGAAAGCCCAATCATAGGCATGTATGGTTGAGAGGCCATGTTATAAGCTGCTTATTTCTCGTCCAAGACCACGATGCATGTGCAGCAACCACTATTTGTCAACTCCAAAGAATATTATAATGGGTTCTTCACGACCTTTTCTTCTTGTTTCGGTCGTGAACGAAGAGTGATTTTCTTTTCTCGCTTTCTCATGCTTCCACATGGCCGAATACCAATGTCGACTTCTCCTTCAAGGCATCTCATCTCAGCCAATAATGTTGCCATAAATCAAGGCAGCATCATCTAGATATACATATATTCGTTTGATTTGATTTGGTTAGTTGAACGAATTGCGTCATTTAAACTGTAACAGTTATGTGGCCCCCCAACCCCACCAAATTCATGGAATATTCACGATTTTTATTTTTAGTTTTCGAGAAAGTGATCGACTTGATTAGGAGAGATAGAGAGATTTCTATGTACCTAAGCAATATTTGGCTCTTGCCAAAACTGTGATTGGTTACTTAAGTATAATTCGTAGATTATTTCTACTTATATGCAATAAGTCAACCCGTAAAAATTCAACACTTAAAATGGAAGATGTGAGCTACTGGCGACGGTCATGGATGAGCCTATTTACAAGTCAAGCCACTGCTATCGAAATAATAATTAAATGGTGGTATGATAGCCACAGTGGAATGAATCTTTCCTAAAGAATAACTTTTCTTTCGAATGCAATCAACAGGGACCTATCAATGGACAAGTTCATGTACTTGATTAACTTGCTGGTGTTGAAAAGAGATACGGGAGATGTGATCATTAATCTTCACTTAAGAATGGTCAAAATGTAAGATGGTGGCAAGATCGTGGCGTCCTCATCGGTGGATTCTTGGTCTTTACACACTTGAATCAAACAGAAAAAATTAGGGTCGAGTCATGTGCAAGAAAACACATGAGAGCCATGAATTATTGCTGCAACCGGTATCAACCCCATGTGATAAACCCGTCTCTTTAATGTGATGACCCTTTGAATATTTCCTCATTCTATATAATCCTAATCTTTAATGTATTCGTAGTACGCTACCACAACCCTAGGACAAGGGCGGTCGATGGATAAGAAATCATTCTCTTTTCGAAGTCTTGTTTAGGATTGCAATGATTCGTCTCGTAATCATTGAAAGAATAGGTCAGAGGGAATGATGAGATCTACAATTTAGCAAATGCAATAAAAATTTAGATCCTCCCCCCACCATTTTTGCTGAGCTCACGTGCTGAGATCCTAGACAAATTGATAAATACAACGGTCCACTAATGATCAGAAACTGTTGGGGAAGTCAGATTCCACAATGATTCTGGGAGTTGTTTGTTGAAGTCGTTCGATCACCACCTAACGAATTATGCGGAACCATTATACTGTCCATACTAAACAGTTGCCGCAGTCGCAGCACCTACTTACTTTTGCGATTTGATATTGTTGCAACAAAGTCCAATTTATTTACGGAAAAGCATGTGCATCTATGGACAACACCTAACAATGTCGTCCGAGTCTGAAGAAGAAGAGGTGGAAGAGGAAGAGAGTTCTGGTTTTAGGGGTTCTATGAAGGTTTGAGTCCATGAATGCACGATGCCATGTTTCAGGGGTTCCTTGTTTCAAGCAGATTGTTTTGTTAGAGAGAGAGAGAGAGAGAGAGAGAGAGAGAGAGAGAGAGGCATGTGATGGGATATAATGTATGCAAGTGTTGACCATTTGATTTCGGCTAGGCAATTAGGATGTAGGTTAGGCACGTGACCGTTACATTTGCATATTCTCTGCCAAAGAATGGAATGCATCTTCAATTATGTAAAGCACATTTCTTGGTCTGTAGCTAAAAATGAATGAACATAGTTTGTGCATACAATAGGTCTTTAATTAGGTAGGGGCGGTTTTCATATTGACCCAAAAGCCTATGACTCTCCTTATCCACATCACCCAAGTTTTACCATAAGGATAACGTAACAAGCTTAACAAAAGTATTATTACATTTTACGACCTCCCTTAGCCAGTTAGATTCTTCTCATCGGTAGGTCTTTTTGTGTAAATGTTACACCAAGTGACACTCCTATTTGATTGACATAAAACACGCACAATATCACTATTCTTTTTTGGTTTAAAGTGAGTATTGTAAACTTATTTTCATGTAACCTAAACCCTAATTTTTTAAGCAGAAAATATTGGCCAAAATAAGACAACAAGGACTGTCTGCTAAATTTGGAATATAGGCAAAAGTACACTATAAGTGCCATAACTTGTGTACAGCGATCACTTTGGTGCCATAACTTTTTTTCGGATCACTTTGGTGCCAAGTCGGAGGAAAATAGATCACTTTAGTAACTCCGGCCAAAATTCCAGCCAAAAAGCTGACCTGGCATTTATATTAAAAAAAATGG